GAACCGCGGTCCTTGTGCTTTGCTAAGCTTGTTCTAAGTAGGTGCTTTAGACCACTGAGCCATCTCACCAGCCCCCTGGCCTTAAATCTTGTGACATAGTGGCCTCCATTACAGCATTGTAGATGTCCCCTTTTGTTCTTCCTGGAAGAGATACCAGTTTTATCAGCTTTTCTCTCATGGTGTAACCAAAATTACTTTACGCCTTGGATGATTTACTCCAAGCAAACAAGTAACAGTAACAACTGACTGCCTTTTGTGGGCCAGTGATGAGCTGCTAACATCGCTTACCATGGGCAGGGCTTGACCTTTAACAATATTTCTGCCAAGTGGCATCTCACAGGTGCATTACATAATTTTAATGCTTGTTTGGGAAATGACAAAAAAGGGAATTGCTCCCAGAAAACATGACCATTTTGACAAAAATCTCCATCAGAGAAAGGTGTGCTATGTTTGCTATACACAGTGAAATTTGAAAGCTACCAGCTGTCAAATGGTTTTAGAAAGAGAGTTGAAAAAAACTAAGAGACTGGGGATATTCTCTCAATTTTGCTGTAAGAAATTTCTTTCTACCATACATGGTGGTAGTGCTTGGATACTCCTGTAATCCGAGCACTTGGGAGGCTGAGGCAGGAGGATCACTGCAGCTTGGAGGCCAACCTGGGTTATGCAGTGAGTTCAAGGCAAACCTGAACTACATAGCAAGATCCTGTCTAAAAAAAGACAAACAGGGGCCCGGGGAGATAGCTCAGTAGAATAAGCACTTGGGGCCTGAGTTCACTCCCTGGTTCCGCAAAAAAAAAAAAAAAAAAAAAAAAAAAAAAAAAAAAAAGAGAAAGAGAGAGAGAGAGACTCTTTCCTTTCAGTTTCACCAAGCTGTGCAACACTTTTGTGATTGGTGTCAGGTGCTATTTGACCTTTGACATGCACGTACAACACTTTCATTACACAATGTATGGTGCTGTCCCATTGCATTCAGTCACTCCAAATGATTCTGTCCAGGGCTTTTAAAATTATCTTTTACTATCTGTTTTCAGTTCTCTCTCTCTCTCTCCCCCTTTCTCTCCCTCTCCCCCCCCCCTCTTTTTCTCTCTTTCTCTTTTTTTTTCTGTAGTCATTTTTGGTGTTCAGGACTTGATGCCTACAAAAACATATTGTTTTTTAAAAAATGTATCACCAAATAAAAATCTAACCCGTACCAAAAATAGCTAACACTATTAGTTAATACTAAAAAATTGAATATTCCTTGAATAATAAATTGTGACAGTGATTCTCTGCTGGGGCTCCACTTGAATTTTCTGACCACTAAAACCTGCTCTGAAGAGGGCATCTGAGTATATTTCCTACCTTGTGAGGGCTTCTGCTAAAGTCACAGCATATATATATATATATATATATATCTCCCCACATCCTTGGCACAGTGCACTGACTAGCCATGTAAAAGTTCAGATGAGTCTTGACTAATGAGTCACAGACTGACATCATCACCTGATGCCGCTGTGCCTATCTGAGCATGGGCATGGCCTCTGTGTGTACTGTTATCTGATGCTCGGCTGCTGGGGTAATGCTGAGGTGACTTGGCTCTTCTGCAAACAGAGGGCTCCTGGTACCTGCCGTGGTATGCGTGTGTCTGTCTGTCTGTCTTATGGTGAGCTTTTAAGCTTGGTATGAGCCTATGTATTCATAACAAAGAAATCATTCCCAAATCCAACATCGTGAAACTTACTATATTTTCTCCTCAGGGAATTTTATCGTTTCAGACTTGACATTTAGAACTTTGATCCTTTATTTATTTATTTATTTATTTATTCATTTTTTGAGACAAGGTGTTGCTATGTAGTCCAGGCTGCCCTTAAATGTACTGTGTAGACTCAAACATGCAGCAATCCTCCTGCCTTGGTCTCCCGAATGCTGAGGTTACAGGTGTGCCCCATTTTGTGCTCAGTTTGAGTTAATTTCATATGTGGTATTGGTAGGGTCCAGCTTCATTCTTATGCATGTGGAGACTGGTTTCCCCTGCCCTGCTTGTTTAGGAAATTGCTCTTCCCTGCTAGGTGGGAAGGGAACAGGGAGGCCACCCAGGTGCTGGTCCCTCATAGTTCCTGCTTCTCTGTGACTGCAGCCCTCAGGTGCTGGCTGAGTGTGTTGGAGGAAACCCTTTGGCTGGAGGGCTGTGTCCTGTGCTGCCCAGGGAAGAGACATGGCAAGCATTTGCATCTGTACCTTCTGCTGTTGCCAGGATTGTATGGAGAACATAAATTGTCAGAAAAGTGGTTCTCGCTGTGGACATATTGTGCAGTCCTCTGCAGGCCTCTGTTGGACCCTGTCCTGGAGTGGGCTCACACATCTTTACCTGAGGTACACAGCCATCCTGGGGAGTAGAAGGTTGGGCTGTCCAGTTGCTCCAGGAGCCTCAGAGGACAAGGAGTTGTTTCCCCATGTTTCTGAGCCCTTCCACCAGAGTAGAGTGGGAGGTTAATAGGAAGCATCTCTGCTTGTAGGCCTGCTAAGACTTGCAGTGTTTCTTAGTCCGCAGCTTATTTCACTGAGTCGGCTTCTTGGTATGGTGCAGCGTCCTGAGGATGCCAGTTGACATTCCCACAGGTCTGGAACGTGTATGCATAGTAGCTGGTGCCATGCTTGCTTCTGTTGTTACTGGGATGTAAATGGGATTAAACATAAGATACTGATTCTGACAATCTTGCTTGTTTAAGTTGGAAAATAAACATATTAATGTATTCAAATTGTCTTTTTAAAATTATCATTTCAGAATTTTTAGAAGGAGGAGTTGGCCATGTGGAAATGTTATTTCGCTGCAACTATTTGGCTTTAGTTGGTGGTGGAAAAAAGCCAAAATACCCTCCCAACAAAGGTAAAGTAGCTACACCACTGAGAACCTCCTTCGCTGCCTGGGGGTGGGGGGGTCTCTGAACATTGTAGGCCACCTCCATTAGTGGTCGTGTGTGGCCTGTTCTTGTGGTCCAGTGAGGTTTAAGGATAAGAAGCTTGGAGGAAGTGTCCAGGGAGACTGACCGTGGCATGGTTGGCCCTGCTGTGTGCCATTCTGGGCTTGGAGGGCTTCAGGTGAGGATGGAGCCACCGACCAAGGAACACTAATCCAGTAGCCACATAGAGCAAAAAGCCAGCATGGTGGCCAGGGAGTGGTTCTTGGTGTGTGATGCTGTGTCTACAGTCCAGTCCTTGTAGGGCACAGAGTGGGATGGGCTTTCCTAACCCTGTTGCAGGCTCTGCATCTGTGCAGCATGTCCCAGTGCTCTGCTGAGGGGAAAGGCCCAGAGAGGAAAGCAGAACCTGGGCCACAGGGCTGCTGAGTGGGAAGCAGATGAGCTGACTGAGGTCCTCAATGCCAGGTGAGAATGGGCCTTGGAGAGACAGGCCATCAGTCCATGGTGGGCATGCAGTGTCCTTGAGGCTATGTGAGCACGTGAGGAGATACAAGAGGTATGGGAGCACTGTTCACAGGAAAGATAAGAGGAAGCAGGCACACACACCTGCCGGTGCTGTGGCTACAGGCAGAGGAGGCTGCTGCCTGTACTAGCTGAGTGACCTTTGTGCTTTGGAGTAGACCTTGGTGGCTGGTGGAGATAGCTGGAGACAGGAAGGCAGTGAGGGAGGAAACAGGAGTACGAGGATGGCGAGGCCACACTGAGGCCACCCCTTGGGGCAGATAGGTTAACCCAGGAGCAAAGAAGCTGGTGCTCGCCTGAAGCAGGGTGTGTGCTTAGCCCCCAGGAGGCCTGGGTCTTTATGGCACTGCAGAGGAAGGGTCCTGTGCAGAAGGGTTGGCCTGGGGACTTGCCACACCTTGGCCCCAGGCGCACTGTTGGCAGTGGAAGGCACGCAGGTGATATTAGCACTGACACCTTTTCTTTTGGCTGTAGCCTAAGCACCTAGAATGAAAAGGTAGGATCCTGTAGGATGTGGTGGTGCCTGCCCTTACTTACTCCAGCAGTTGGGAAGCCTGAAGCAGGAGGATTGCAAGTTTGAGTCCCACCTGGGCAATGCAGTGAGACTCTCTCAAAATAAAAAAGTAAAAAGGCTTGGAATGTAGCTCATTGTGAAGATTCTGCATTCAATCCCCAGTAATAAAAAGAAAAGGAAAGAGATTATTGGCAGGTAAGAGAATAAAAGAGCCCGGGACATAGCTCCGTAGCCTAAGTGCCTGCCTGGCAAGCACAAGGTCCTGAGTTTGATCCCTGGTACTACAAAAACAAACAACAAAAAACAAGCAATAAGAAAATAAAAGAGCCAGTTTGAGATTCTAGAACCTGGGTCTGTCTGGGCATTCCACAGAGTGAGCACATCTCCCAGCACAGGCTCCTGGAGCAGAAGGGGCTTAGCATGGTCCTGGGGTCCTGCTCCGCCGGAGCTTCCTGGTCTTGGAGAATTGGGCATTCCTGAGGAAAGAGAGCTGGAAGGCAGGCAGTGAGGACCTGAGAGCTCCTCCCTGGGCTCAGCCGTGCCCATTGTAGGTAGGGACATGGGCCTTTCAGACTCTCTCAGAGTTGCTGTTTGTCCTAGATAACCTCTTACTCTTATTAAAAACATAAGTTGTTCCAAGTATTCACGTGTGGTATTTCATAGTTGTAATCCTAGATACTTAAGAGGCAGAGGCAGGTGGAGTGGTACATGCCTGTAATCCCAGCCCTCGGGGGACTGAGGCTGAAGGTTCGCTGAGTTCAAGGCTAGCTGGCAGTACATAGGAAGACCTTGCCTCAAAAAAGAAACCAAAAACAAAAATACAGTGCTGCTGCTGAGGGCCATCCAGTGGAAAGGCAGGCTCAAGATAAACATGACACTGTGTCCTCACTTTATTCATCAGACCTGGCTGGCACCTGTGATTCTGACTCCTACCTAAAAGCAAAATGACCATGAAAGGTAAAACATTTTCAGTTGATTCAGAGCACTGAGGCATCCATAACAGGGATGTATAGACAGAAGTGGCAAGAGTGATAGGACAGGTATGCAGAGCAAGAGCGAGTATCACGAGAGGGCTTCATGGCAATGTGTGAACACTGCAAAGCTCAGAGGGAGTCAGGGCAGGCAGCCACCCAGCAGGGCTCAGTGAAGGTAGATCCTTGTCACTCCACACCTGTCAGAGTCTGCATGCGGTGCACACAAAGAGCACACCCAGGGACAGATCTGTGCTTCCCTTTGTACCTGCTGGTGTGGATGTACCTGCTGTTCCACACTTGGTGTGGGACAGTAGAGCTGTGTGTATGTGGAGGGGAAGTATGCACAACTCCCTGCACGTTCCTTTTTTTGGGGCTGGGCACAGGGTCCCACTTGTATAGTTCAGACAAGTTGAGCAAGTTGAACTCACTAGGTTTCCCAGTCTGGTATCAAACCTTATGGTGATCAACCCTTATGGTCTCCGCCTCCTGAGTGCTGGGATTACAGGCATGCATCACCACAATTAGCCTGGGGAGATAGCTCAGTGGCCTAAGTGCCTGCCTGGCAAGTGCAAAGTCCTAAGTTCAATCCTTAGTACCGGGGAGAAAAAAAAAATTATTATGAGCGTAAAACTTCTCTAAATTTTTTTAATGTATTTGGTACAGGGTCTCATTACGGAGCTCAGATTTGTAGTAATCCTCCTGTTTTCAACCTCCCCAGCACTGGGATTACAAGGGTGTGCCACCACGCCTGCTCTCTGCTGCAGGCTCAGTGCGCCTGGGGGTGAGAATGGCACAGATTGTGGTGTGAGGGATCAAATCCTGTGCTTGCCTCAGTCGGCACTTAGTCCACTGAGCATCTCACCAGCCCAATTTGATTTTTTTTTTTTTTTTTCGGGGATTGAACTCAGGCCCTTGTGCTTGCCAGGGAAGCGCTTATTCCACTGAGCCATCTCACCGGCCCCTCCAATTTGATTTTAATGTTGTTAGGTTGTACCAAAAAGTACTTAAAAACCTATTAGAAAATTGCCTTTTTTGTTCTTGTTTTCTTTGAAACAGGATCTCTCCATGTAATGCAAGCTGGCCTTAAACTCACTCATGTAGCCCAGGCCGGTCTCAAGCTCTCAGTCTTTCTTCCTCAGCCTTCCAAGTGCTAGGATTAAGATGCACACCACCATGCCATGCAGACACTGTATTTTTTATTCTATTTTGTAAAGACACATGAAGAAGGACTTCTAGAACTTTAGAAAGTGGCAAGAATGATGATACTAGTACTTTTAAGCTGTGGAACTGAGTGGAATAATACAAAGTATAAAAAGAGATTAAGGGGCTGGGGAGATAGCTCAGTGGCCTCAGCACCTACCTGGCAAGCACAAGGTCTGGAGTTCCATCCTCAGTGCTGCCTGCCGTGCCAGCCTCGAAACTGGGAGTAGTGGCATGGAAGGTGGGCATGGTGGTGTAATCCCAGCATGGGGAGGCTGAGGTAGGAGGATTCCTGCAAGCCTGAACTGTGTAGTGAGACCGTGTGTCAAAAAGAAAAACAGATAAGGGGGCCTAGGAGATAGCTCAGTAGAATAAGCGCTTGCCTGGCAAGCTCAAGGGCCTGAGTGCAATCCCTGATTCCACTAAAAAATAGGGCTGGTGAGATGGCTCAGTGGTCTAAAGCACCTACTTAGAACAAGCTTAGCAAAGCACAGGGACCACGGTTCAATCCCCCAGCGCCACATGCCAGCCAGCCCTGCCCCCTGGTGGGCTGAGCTGGACACACACACACACACACACACACACACACACACACACACACACA